GGATACATGGGAACTAGTGAAGCCAGTCTAAGCTGACATTTTTATGCTTGGTGATATTCAAACCAGGAATGTAAGTCTTATATATCTCCCATGAGTTGGCTGTTTCTTCATCCCCCACCACCTCCTTCAGATTGCATAGTTGAGCAACCGATACGGGAATTTCACAGCGATCGCATTCTATCATGTAGAGCTTCTTCAGGTTGCAGAGATCACCAATTTGTTCGGGTAGCTTCTTTACGCTTGCACAGTCTGATATGTCCAGAATTTTCAACTCTTGAAGATTCCCAATCGACTCTGGCAGCTCTGACAACTCTATACATGAACTAAGCCTCAACACCTCCAAAGTCATCAAGTTCCCAAGCTCTTCTGGCAATACAGACAGGTTTTGACAGTTGGTGATGCTAAGCTTTTTCAGTTGAACTAGATTGAAGAACCACGATGGAACCTCCATCAAATCGCTGCAGTAGTCTATGTCAATCGCTTCCAAGTTTGGGAAAGGATTTGGCTGAAGGATTACATTGCTAAAGGCCTGACCAAGACTACACATGAATAAGGATAACTTTTGTAGAGTCCCTGATGCAATGCTTGGCAGGAAATCTGGTGGAATCAAAGTCCTTTCAAGCCTGATTCTTTTCAGATTGGGTAGAGAAGCAAGATGATAGATTTCACTGAGGTCAGCAGGACTTAATCCGTGATTCGTAACTATTAGAACCTTCAGGTTCTGCATTCTTGCAATGAACTTGGGTAAGCCATAGTTCTGGGTCTTGAAGTTCAAAACTAATACCTCTACCTCAGGAGCATTTATGTCAGGCCAACTTGATGAGAAGTTTTCATCTGCAACATGCATACTTATTTAGAAAGAGTAAAGGTAAGTTGAGAATAGCTGAAATAGTTATGTAGATGAATAACCTGTTGTAACGGCTAGGAGTTTGGCCTTGAAGACTTTCTCTGTGCTTTCCGTCCACCACGAAGGGAAACTATTACCTGTTATTTCCACAAAAAGCCTTTGCCTGAGCTGAAAGCTGTGAGTGTTGCTTTGAATGATAGCTAAATCTCTCAGCAGATCATGTTGTGTTACGAAATCCTCATTGTGGAAGCCATCATCATCTTCACTTGCATCTTTCCTGGATAATGAATGCAATCAAGCCACGATCACGTCAATATGCTCACAAACTAATGTTGAAAGTACAACACTTTGGAAGGGATGGGTGGTCAAATTACCTGATGACTCTAAGATCAACTAGATTCCGGAAAGAGAGTTCATAGAGGTTAGAGATAGCAAAATCTTCATCCAGACCATGCAATTCTACCCACATATCGATCAGGGCTGTGGCAGGAATTCTTCTGTCCTCAGGGAACAGCCCTAGATCCATGTAACACTCCTTGATTGATTGCTTATCATCCAAGGCATCCACACTCTTCTGGAGACAGTCGAGTACTTGTGAGTTTTCAAGGAAGGAAGCAGTTTTTGAACATTCCTTGGCTCTTTTGCGCCACTCCACTGCCGGTTTCCTGAGTAAGGATTTTCCCACCACAGAAATCAGTAGTGGAAATCCCTTGCAGCTTTTCACTATCTGCAAATCACAAAAGCAAATCAGTACTCTTCTGGTATATTCATTCTTTTTCAGCAACAAAATACACATCCATGATTGCAAGTGAGAAATCTACCTTCTCCATAACTTCTTGATCTGGCTCGTAAGAGTCCCTCTCTTGAGGGAAAGCTGACTGACGAAAGAGGTCTGTGGCATCCGTATCGCTCAACGTCTGTAATTTGTATGTCGAACCGAATGCTTTGAATTCATCTCTTGAGGTTACCAAGATTTGGAAGTTAGTTATCTTAAATTTGAGCCTATCAAGAAGGACCTCTGATCCCGACCAAACATCATCAAGAACCAAAAGTGTAGGCTCTCCATCCATATCCTTGAGCAAGCATTCAATTTTGTTGACTGCATCTTCTTCACTTTGAAACCCAGGCACCCGACGACGCAAACGCTGGAAGATATTTTGTCCAATCGTCAGTAAGTTGGCTGCCTTCGACACGGTGATAAAGATGAGGTTGTCCTTATACCTGACTGTCCACAGTTACAAAACACATCTAATAACTTCAGAAATAGCACAGCTTTTCCAGCTCTGTAAATAGAGAAAAGGGTAAGGAAAGAGGGACCAAATTTGACGTACTGCACATAATACTACAACTCAGGAAAGCCACCAGTTACAATTCAAATAAGTCCACAATTAGCAGCATTTTCCATTTTTGGACGACAACAACAACAAAAAAGAGATGAACATTCTTTAAGAGCTTTAACTAGATGCAGAATATAGTTCCAGGAAAGAAAAAAAATACTCCAACAAGCAAAGCTCCATATCAAGCAAGAAAGACTCGCCCTTTAACGTATAAATACCGATTTACCTACGTTTATCAAAACCGTATCTAGTAACTCAGGACATTCCATCCCTTCTTATGGAATCACTTTTGCATTTGGAAGTGAGAGAATCAAAGAACCAAACCCCGTTTGAGTAAGAAAGATTCACTTTTGAATTCCTTAAAGACTTCCTTTATACGGTTGAAACATATTCTTCCAAGATCCCAGTAGTAAAGGTTTGCCTACTTTGCCCTATCTAGCAACTCAGCAAATCCCCTTTGATATTAAAAGCGAGAGAACCGAACCCCATATTCGTCATCCAAACAACCAACAACATAGACAATCAAAAGAGGAAAACCAGTAAGTGGTCCAAAACTAACAAGTTCCAAGTAAAACCAAATAAAAAGGAGATACCTTGAACTTCTGGATCATGGCAAAACGCAGTGGCCAACGTGGTCTTGCCACATCCACCAGGAGCAGAAAGCACAAGAAACGGAACCCCATCATTCACCACCTTCTTCTTCAACTCCGTCAATGGAATCTCCAATCCCACAGGAACCACTTTCAGCATAGGCGCCGAGAACCCACCTCCAACTGCCCCAAAACTTCCCCCTGAATAGCCATAACCAGCTGCCGCCGCCCCCATGCTCATTTGCCGCACTTGGTTGCTCAGCTGCTTCACTTCGAACAGAATCTCCTTCCCGTCGGCCACTTGATGGAGCTGCAGCACAGTGGTATTGTACCTCTTGAGGTTGTCTTCCAGCTTGAGCAGCTTCCTTGAGTACATGGGCTTCCTCACAACGTCATAGCGCTTAATTTTAGCAGATTTGGCGACCAGCTCCGCACCCTTTTTCAGTATGGCCTTCAGCCCATCTATCTCTTCCGGGCGATCGAAATCCCTGTTGTACGAATCGATCTTCCTGATTGCTGGTGCCATGGATCGCAAGGTCTGCTCCAGCCGCTGGAAGGTCGAATTGAAGATGGAGTTTTTCTTGGAAACGTCCACGATTGCCATCAGGATGTGCTCGAACACAATGTTGAACCCAGCTCCCGCGGACGCCGAGCCGGTTGATTGAAGGAAAGAAGAAGACATGGTTTCGTTTTTTCTCTGAAACGGAGAAATTCAAACGGGAAGGTAAAGGGGAAAAGGAAAGAGCTCGAGAAGAGAGCAAATCTAGGCTAGCCGGAAACTGGGTTGTTGACGAAACGGGGGATTTGGGCTGCGATTCCATCCATTTTCAGTAAAGTTTGGAACTTGAGAGCTGGGAGATGAATTTGAGCTTGGATTTCAGGAAGCACGGAGGAGATTAATCCCACGACACGACAAAGGAAGACCCAGATGATCTGAAAAGAGGGGAGATGAGGGGTTTAAGGAATTATATATTCGGACCTTGCGTTTACTCGCTCGTTGACGAGGTTGAGAGGCTTTTCGTCGTTGGTGGTTCCGCGGTATTTGTTAACTAACGGAGTTCTGATTGGGTGAGTGTGTGCGCGGGAGTTGACGGGGAAGACGCCCTCGGTGTATCAAATGAAGTCGAAAGCAAGCAGGACGTTATCTGTAATCTGTGTATTTTGCCCATTTCCGTCCCTTTTTCGACAAAACGAAATTCCGGGGAAGTTCCTGGTCTCCTGGGTAGGGGTAGGTAATCCTCAGTCGTTGGTTGGTTTACTTGTTAACCGCGAAACCGAACCGAAACCGCTTGTTTTGGTTAGCGATTTCGGTTATCAGGCACCGGGGATGAAGAGAAAATTTTGGTTAGCGCTTAATAACCGCAATCGTGGCGGTTAATCGTGAAACTGCGGTCTGTAGTCCTTACACACTATTACAGCGTGGTTTTGGCGAGGCTCGGCCAAATCGCAAAAGCAACAAGTGCTTCATGAAATTTCTTCTCCTCTCAGCTACTTTTTTTGTCCAACCTCCGTTGTCTTTCATTCTTTGAGAACGTTAGTGAAGCTTTCTTTGAAGCGGCATAAGCATGATATCAATTGAGCCGAATCGATTATAGTTGTGATATGGGTGTCCATCAACCAGGCTCTGATGCCAACTAGTAGACGCAAAGATTTTTGCAACCGATATTGAGGGTGATTTTGGGAGATGATAAGGACTTGAGAATGATAAGTCGATTTTGGAAACAAGAAAAAGGGATTTAGACGAGGAAGACAAGACTGGGAGAGATAGGAATTAGGGGAGATTTGTTTAATTATTCTGATTATTAAACAAGGTAACTTGTTGACATTCGGTTGCTTTGCATGCCATTCACCAGAAGGAGCTCTTATTGCAGAGTATTTCTCACCATTATTCAGTAACATTTTGATTTGTTTTGTAAGAGACCAGACTTTTCCTAAAGTTAGACCGTAAAAGAGCTCCACCTCTGTGATTCATCCAAGTCCCTTTAACAACTTCAGCTTTATTTCACAAGAACTATGATTCTGCATTTTTCTAAGCCCGTTTCTTTGTTATTCAAATAGTTCTATTCTACATTTTGTATGGCTTTGATTTATCTTCTTCTCTATCAAGTAGACGAGCTCTACCATGAATTCATGGAGTATTGGAAGTATGACAGTTGCTGGGAAAGTAGTACTAGTTATGTCCAAAGGAATGTACCCTAATTTACGACCCCTACGACTCTAACAATGTCAGAGCTTCAACCCCATGTGATCCAGGAAACCAAAATACAACTCTCTCCAGGGTGTGCAGCCTAGTATAGAACCAACTATGCCCCAAAATCCAACTAGAAAACCAGCCAATACGCTTACAGACAACCAAACCAAACCATCTTCACCGGAACCTGGTACGATAAAGATGTACCTTGTACTGCAGCTGACATTTAAGGGACGACCACAAAGTGCTATGTTGCCAATAAAGCTGGATGAATCGAAGCTATGGAGCTGGGTGCTCGAAGGAATTCTCCCACTCAAGTTGTTGTGGGACAAGTTGAGGAGATTCAAGAATGTTAAACTTGCCATCCCTGGAGGGATTTTACCTGAGAATCGGTTTCCAGACAAGTCCAAGGATTCCAGCGATCCCATGGCAGCTATATCCCCTGGGATCTCACCTGACAGCCGATTATGCGACAGGTTCAGGTATTGCAAGGCCCTCAGCTTCATCATCTGCTGCGGAAACTTTCCGGACAGCTTATTCCAGGAAAGGTCCAAACTCCTAACATAATTCAGTATGGTGCTGTAACCCTTAACCTGCCCTTTCGTCACCAGAAACTGATATTCCACGAATGATTGCATCCCACCAAAGAAGAGGGCTATTACTCCTTCTGCCTCAATTTTGGAGCTGCTTGCCATGGCGCTGAAATTGGAAAAACATTCTGGCAATTTGCCTGAAAGAAAGTTATGAGAAAGGTCTAAAATTTGCAGGAGCTGGAGACGGCAGAGCTCTTCAGGAATATTTCCCTGGAATTCATTCCCCCGAAAGCTGATAATTTGCAGCCTCAAAAGGCTTTCCCCAATCCACTCTGGAAGCTTACCTTCCAAACTGTTATCAGCCAAGTCGATAGAGACTAGACTAGTGCAGTTGCTGAGGGATGAAGGGATTTCACTGGCCAAGCTGTTATTCTGGAGGCGTAGTGAAAGAAGGGAGGTTAAACTTCCAATCGACCTAGGAATCTTGCCTTTCAAGTTGTTGCTGGCCAGTCTCAAGACCAGCAAATTCTTCCAACTCCTCAAGCAATCGGGTATCTCTCCAGAGAGAAGGTTGTCTTGAAGGTTAAGAAATTGTGTCTCTCTCACCTGAGTTGGATTAAAGCACAGGAACTTGATCAAGTTCCCAGTGAACAAATTGCTGGAAAGATCCAATGCAGTCAAATTGGAGGAGATAACTGGCAGACGACCCTCCAATCTATTCCAACTGAAGTCAAACAATGTGTCTGCGGAATGAGCCAAGATAAAACTTGGAACCCGTCCCGGGATTTGGTTATGTGACATGTTCAGATAGTAGAACTGAGAATGCTTGGCCCAGAACCAATCAGGAACTGTTTCTGAAATTCCAGAGTTTGAGAGATCAAGAGACCCTAGGTACTGAAGCTGTTGGAGCCATTTGGGGAAGGCAGGTCCTACATACCAGGAATTCAGGTGCAGTATCCCGAGTGGCTCTGGTGGAATCCAATCTGGTGTAACTTTCAGCGTCATCCGGTTCCCAGATGCACTGAAACGACTCAGTTTTGTGAGTTTGGCGAAGTGGATTTCAGGGGAGATAACACCTTCCATTGAGTTGAGAGAAATATCAACCCATTGCAACTCTGAAAGTTCCCCAAAACTTGTCGGAATCGTCCCATTGATCTGGTTCCTATCGAGGGTTACGTACGTCAAGGATTTTAGTTCCCCAAATGACATTGGAAGGGGTCCAGAAATGGAGTTAGCCTCTAGGGAAAGTCGACTTAATCTCGTGAACTTCCTAATTTCTTCGCTCAACTGACCAAACAGTTGGCACTCGGACAACGCCATTCTCTGTAGACTGGTAGAAGGACACTCTCCAAGGATTTCAAGCAACTCTGATACACTTTGATTAAGCCTTGTGCCTGACAGGTGTAGTGCCCTCAAATGGCAGAGACTTTTGAATGATGCTGGAATCCCTCCTTCAAATCGAAGACCCCGATTGTACGACAAATCGAGAGTAACCAGAGATGTCAGGTTCCCGATGGAATTGGGAACTCTGCCTTCCAGATTGTTGTTATAAATGTTGAGGTACTGGAGGTGGTGAAAACTGAACAGCCAATGAGGCAAGGAACCATTGAACTTGTTTGAAGACAGTTTAAGATATATGAGGGAGGTAAGGTTTTGAAGCTCCCCGGGAATCGTACCTCTAAGGTTGTTTTGTGCTAGATTCAAGGAAGTCAGGCTTTTCATATGAGAAACCCAGATAGGAAATGAAGTTGGACCAAATTGATTCTGATCTAGAGCAAGAGTCGACAACAATGACAGGTTGACTTTTGCTAAAGGTGGATTATGGCGAATTTGGCAGCTTGACAAGTACAGTTCTGTAATGGACGGGAGTGTGTTTATCATGTTGAGCCAATCAGAAGCACTACTGAGGTTGACATGGCTCAAATCAAGGTATTCTAATGATGGAAGACCAGAAAGCCACTGCAAATTATCAGCATATAATGCATATGGAGCATAAACACTAGCTCGGAGACCAAGTTGTTGCAAGTTTGAGAGATTTCCAAGTTGATGAGGGATGACTCCACCAAATCCAGACCCATCGAGGAAAAGATATTTTAAGCTGCTCATGGAGCTGATAAATCCTGGAATTGGAATCCCTTGAAAATTGTTGCCTGACAGATCCAAATGGCTCAGCTGCTTGAGCTCAAGTAAAGAAGGACTAATCTTACCCTTAAATGTAGAATTCTCAGGACATTTAGGGCATCCCAGATGCAGCTCAGTGACATGACCAGTAACGTTGTCGCATACGACACCAGGCCATTTGCAACAGTCTCCGTTGCTGCCAGCCCAAGGAGAAAGCCGGCCTGAGGAGTCTTGGAGATCAGCCTTAACTCGGAAAAGGGCTTCTCTTTCAGATTGAATGCAGCTGCTACCTGCACCAAAAGTTGCATAATAGAACAAACACATCCAGCTCAGTGAAACAAGAACCGCTGCAGGAACAATCATGGAGTGGCAGCGGCAAAACGCAGCAGAGCAAGAATGCAAGTCCTTTTTACTTTTAGTTGGAAAGTTGGTTTCTTTAGCAAAGGAATGTCTAGTGAACAACCCTGTCAATGCGAACTTCTATAATGCTTTATGAATTTATGGCACAGAGTGTATTGAATTCCTTACTTTGTGTTTTGGTCTTGTTGTATTCCATTTGGGTTCAGGAGGATCTGCCGAATAATTTCTCTGCCGGCTTCTTTCGGCAGCTGCGGATCATTTGATGAATAGCCCCATTCACATGATTCATGTACCAACAAAATAGTCCGAATATAAATTTACTAGGTGAACGAGTGCCGCCTAATCTTCGGCCGAGCTTGATTCCCTTGGCGGAGAACTCGAACTCGACTGCCTGGTTTGAGCCCGACCTTTCTGCAGACCAATGTTTCATTATCCTGTCGAGAGATCCACATGTCCACTCCACGATCCTCAAACCACAGGTGTCCGCCTTGATTTGATCCCAGGAGCGAACAATTTCCGTATCCCTAATTACTGTCATGGACCGCGAAGTGGGTGAACCCAAACCTGGGCTTGGAAGTTGGTGGAGATGGCATTCGTGGGAATCTTGCGATTGTGATAGAGAAGGAGCGATTGGAGTAGTTGTCGTCGGGAAAGAAGTCGTCATTATTGTTGCCGGAGAACGGGAGAAGGAAGCTGCGAGCTAGCAACGGAACTCGAAATGGAAGATTGAAAGGCGTGGGATGAAATTGGGTAAATGCCACATTTGTTCTCTAAAATTACTAAATAGTGTTATGTTTAATCACTAGAATACATTAATATCAATTTTGGTCACTCGAATTACTAAAACAGGTCATATTTAGTCACTCTCTCGTTCGCCTCCGTCCAACTCTGGTCATTCGAATTACTGAAACATGTCACATTTAGTCACTCTCCCGTTAGTTTCCGTCCAACTCCGTTATATTCGACCTAATTCGATCCCGTTAGAGCGAGTTGAACTCGGTGTTAACGAATTTTTGGTTGAGGACGCGTTTTACATGTTTTACCTAATTAATTAACTTATGACAATTGTACCCAAATTCAACCCAAATAAATGGGTATTCGACCTAATTCGACCCGGCAAAAGCGAGTTGAACCCAGTGTTGAAGATTTTAGGTCAGCAACGAGTTTTACACGCTTAAACTTTACTAGGTAATCGACCTAAAGTTGACTCGGTTAAAATTAGTTAAACTCGGTGTTGACGAATTTTTGGTTGACAACAAGTTTTACACGCTTAAATGAATGAGTATTCGACCTAATTCGATCCAGTTAGAGCAGGTTGAACTCGGTGTTAACGAATTTTGGTTTGAGGACAAATTTTATATGCTTTTGTAATTGGAGGATTGGGTCGGTGTGACTTTATTAAAAACTGACCCTACTTGCGTTGCTAACATTTTCAACTTTCGTTATTTTGTTTTCTTTTTATTATTAAACGAGTTGAACTCAATATTGACGAATTTGGGGTCAACAACGAGTTTTATACGCTTAAATCAATTGTATTTGACTTAATTCAACCAGGTTAAAGCGAGTTGAATTCGATGTTAACGAATTTTGGGTAGAGAATTAGTTTTGCACTCTTTTGTGATTGACGGGTTGGGTTGGGGTGAATTTCTTAAAAACTGTCCCCACTTGCCTTTGTTGTCATTAAACTTTTATTATTTTTGTTTTCTTTTAATTATTACTGTTGACACATTTTAGGTCGACAACGAGTTTTATACGCTTAAATTAATGGCTATTCGACCGAGTTAAAGCGAGTTGAACTCGGTGTTAATGAATTTTGGGTTTTCTAACTAAATGGTATTCGATCTAATTCTACTCGGTGTTGGCGAATTTTGGGTCGAGGGCGAGTTTTACACGAGTGGCATTCTTGTGCTTTAGTGGAATTTTGAAGGATTATTTAGGAAAGGCTTGCTTCTTTGTTTTTTCATTTTAGTTTTATTATTTATTCACACACCCAAAAATCAAAATTATCGATATGGTCAAAGCGGGGTTACGTGTTTCGGTAATGACCGAATTTCCTCACATTGATTATTTAGTGGAAGTTTGAAGGATTATTTGGGCTAGACTTGCTTATACATTTTTTCAGTTTTGTTTTCTTATTTATTTGCTCACCCGGAAAATAAAATAATTGACTTTATCAAAGCGAGTTTAATTTATTGTTGACGAGTTTTGGGTAGGAAGCGAGTTTTATTAGCTTTATTGTTTTTTTCCTTTGCTTGCTTACTTTATTTCCTTTTAAGTTCATATATGTTGTCATGTTATAAATTATACATTAACAACCAACTGCAACTGTACATGGGCGTTGGGCTGTGCTTGGGCCGGCACTACACGGGCACGCTTCAGGCCCATTTCTTTCGTGTCGTGAAAGTTCATTTATTAACTTTGCTGGGTCCGGCCCAAGCCCGAGCACGGTTGGAATCGTGCCGTGCCTATTCGTGCTCGTGCCGTGCTCGTATTCGTGTCTAATGAAAAGGAAGAAAATAAAAGAGAGAATGAAAAAGAAGGTGAAAATTGGATGAAGAAAGATAGTATAAACCGATAATGTTTGAGAAAAGTAACAAATAAGGGGGAAAAGAAAATTGGAAGTATAGCGGGTGTAATTTGGCTTTGTGTAATTCTTCGTCCATTTTAACTTATGGTAGTAATTACGTATATATCTTTATGACACTTCTAACAACAACAAATAATTATTTTTCTATTTGTATTTTGTAATATTTGAACCTATAATTCTTTTTATATCTATTTTCTATCAAATAAATGTTATTTTTGTGTCATGTTCGTTCTTATACTCAATAAAATCTCAAAAGTATTAGGCCCAACACGGCCCACTTATATACCGCGCCGTGCTCGTGCCCGTGCCCATGAAGTTTAGGCCCGACACGGCCCATAAATTATTCGTGCTCATGCCGGGCTGGCCCATTTATTTCATGCTCGTGCTTGTGTCGTGCTCTAACCATGCCGTGCTAGCCCATGGGTGACCCGGCCCGGTGCCCAGGTACAACTGCAACCCATAAATCCTTTTTGGAATTAAATTAATATTTCCTTTGTGATACACAACCATTTGTCCGGACCCCTACTCTAACTAAGAAAAAACTGCTACAGGGAACCATGCCATTCTTTTTTAAATGTAAGTCTTGGTGAAGAAGGTAGACTAATTAGCAATTGAGATGTATTCAGTGGAAGGTAATAGTCAAATTTTTACATTTTCCTATATAGTTTGCACAATGATCATTGATTGTCCGTGGTCTGTGAAATAAAATGGCAAAATACACTTGTATAGCCAAAACTTTCACGTTTGTGCTACTTATAGCCACTTTTAGCGAAATACCACTTATAGCCACTTCCATAGAATTCTTTAATGGTGTTAGTGTTAAGTTTGTCTGGACAAACAGTTTTGCTGACGTGGTGAGCATTTCTGACTAAATTTGCTGATGTTGGCAATTTTATATAAAAAAACATGTCCAATGAAAGGAAAACAAAAAATAAATAAATAACAAAAAATATTGGTCAAATCAACCTCTCCTTCTCTCTTCTGCATCACCTTCCAACTTCCTCCTTCCTCCTTTTCTTCTCTGATCCGCTTGCCCCAGCTCCACTTTGTACACTATCCCTATCCCATACTTCCCGTCGCCAGCTCCACAGCAGCAGAGCCGCCACACAGCCACCGGAAACCCATTTCCCCAGCTCCACTTTGTACACAATCCCTAACCCCGATCTTCCCCAATACATAACTTGATGCCCTCAACAGCTCGCCCAACTCAAAATTAAACTCTTTGTCCATCCAGACTAGCTCCCCTTCTCTCGATTCCACTCCTCCACGGCCTCCTCCTTTCATGCCGCCACATCTTTCGCCTTTGAATCCTTGCTCTGACGATCGCGTAAGTAGCAGCCGGATGCTGGACAGACCGAGATTCGTCGGAATTTTCCAAAACTGGTACAACTATAACCGCCGGATTCGTCCCTCTTCTTCCAGTAGATGTATACGATTACGAGACCTACGAATGCTACTCCTCAATAGGGAGAAAAGCGTCCATTTCGAGCAAAAGGTATCAGAAGCTGAACTGCACTCGATTGTAGAGAATCCGCAAGCGGTTTTGTTCCCGATTTTGATTCCTCATTGAAGAAAATGTAGTATGCAGATCCGGATCTCCGTTGGCTGATGAAGTTGAGGGCTGGGAAGAGAGAAGGGGAAGGGTCAAACAAAAGGGCGAATCCGGATCTATTCTTTTTACAGAGAGGAATGGAAGGGGATTAAGAGATTTTCATCCATTTTTATATATATTTTTTATAATTTAATGTAGTAATTAAATATTAAATAATGAAAATATCTGACATGTCACTGTTTGCTTATTTGGCGGTGACATGTTCGCTGATTTGGCGCCTAGTCACCGAATCGTCAAATAAGTTGACGGTGTTAATAACACCATTAAAATATCTAACGGAAATGGCTATATCTAGCACGCAACATCTTTAAAAGTGGCTATAAGTGGCACAAACGTGAAAGTTTTGGCTATGCAAGTGTATTTTGCCAAATAAAATAAACATGAGTTTGGATTCCTAAAATACAAAGGAGTACCACTAGAATTATCAAAATTGTATGGATCTCTTTAATTATAAATAATTGATGTTTAAAATGCTTATTACTAATGGGATTGTTGTGTTACAACTTGATCATATTACACTAGTACATTATCATTTGTTGAATGGTATCATTTTTCACTGGAATAGTTTACAAGTCTAAAACATGCATTCCGGTCTAAAGAACACTATTATTACATGCAATGAATTGTCCAGGCGTGAAGCGCAAACTTTTTTTTTCCCGGTAATTAGCAGATTCCATTAAGCTCAAACTTCTATGCAAAGTGCAAGAAGTCTCGAAAAATACAAAGGCAGAATGCCCAAAAGCTCGTACAGGGAGCAACTGAATCAAAATGACAAAAAAGACAACAAGGAAAAGCTATCTAATG